GTGTTGTTACTCTGTGTGTTACTCTGTGTGTTACTCTGTGTGTTGTTACTCTGTGTGTTACTCTGGGTGTTACTCTGTGTGTTGTTACTCTGTGTGTTACTCTGTGTGTTGTTACTCTGTGTGTGTTACTCTGGGTGTTACTCTGTGTGTTGTTACTCTGTGTGTGTTACTCTGTGTGTTACTCTGTGTGTTACTGTGTGTGTTACTCTGTGTGTTGTTACTCTGTGTGTTACTCTGTGTGTTACTCTGTGTGTTACTCTGTGTGTTGTTACTCTGTGTGTTACTCTGTGTGTTACTCTGTGTGTTGTTACTCTGTGTGTTGTTACTCTGTGTGTTACTCTGTGTGTTACTCTGTGTGTTGTTACTCTGTGTGTTACTCTGTGTGTTACTCTGTGTGTTACTCTGTGTGTTGTTACTCTGTGTGTTGTTACTCTGTGTGTTGTTACTCTGTGTGTTACTCTGTGTGTTACTCTGTGTGTTGTTACTCTGTGTGTTACTCTGTGTGTTGTTACTCTGTGTGTTACTCTGTGTGTTACTCTGTGTGTTACTCTGTGTGTTGTTACTCTGTGTGTTACTCTGTGTTGTTACTCTGTGTGTTACTCTGTGTGTGTTACTCTGTGTGTTACTGTGTGTGTTACTCTGTGTGTTACTCTGTGTTGTTACTCTGTGTTGTTACTCTGTGTGTTACTCTGTGTGTGTTACTCTGTGTTGTTACTCTGTGTGTGTTACTCTGTGTGTTACTCTGTGTGTTACTCTGTGTTGTTACTCTGTGTTGTTACTCTGTGTGTTACTCTGTGTGTGTTACTCTGTGTGTTACTCTGTGTGTGTTACTCTGTGTTGTTACTCTGTGTGTTACTCTGTGTGTGTTACTCTGTGTTGTTACTCTGTGTGTTACTCTGTGTGTTACTCTGTGTGTTACTCTGTGTGTTACTCTGTGTGTTGTTACTCTGTATGTTACTCTGTGTGTGTTACTCTGTGTGTTACTCTGGGTGTTACTCTGTGTGTTACTCTGTGTGTTACTCTGTGTGTTGTTACTCTGTATGTTACTCTGTGTGTTACTCTGTGTGTTACTCTGTGTGTTGTTACTCTGTATGTTACTCTGTGTGTTACTCTGTGTGTTACTCTGTGTGTTGTTACTCTGTGTGTTACTCTGTGTGTGTTACTCTGTGTGTTACTCTGTGTGTTGTTACTCTGTGTGTTGTTACTCTGTGTGTTACTCTGTGTGTTACTCTGTGTGTTGTTACTCTGTGTGTTACTCTGTGTGTTACTCTGTGTGTTACTCTGTGTGTGTTACTCTGTGTGTTGTTACTCTGTGTGTGTTACTCTGTGTGTTACTCTGTGTGTGTTACTCTGTGTGTTACTGTGTGTGTTACTCTGTGTGTTACTCTGTGTGTTACTCTGTGTTGTTACTCTGTGTTGTTACTCTGTGTGTTACTCTGTGTGTGTTACTCTGTGTTGTTACTCTGTGTGTGTTACTCTGTGTGTTACTCTGTGTGTTACTCTGTGTTGTTACTCTGTGTTGTTACTCTGTGTGTTACTCTGTGTGTGTTACTCTGTGTGTTACTCTGTGTGTGTTACTCTGTGTTGTTACTCTGTGTGTTACTCTGTGTGTGTTACTCTGTGTTGTTACTCTGTGTGTTACTCTGTGTGTTACTCTGTGTGTTACTCTGTGTGTTGTTACTCTGTATGTTACTCTGTGTGTGTTACTCTGTGTGTTACTCTGGGTGTTACTCTGTGTGTTACTCTGTGTGTTACTCTGTGTGTTGTTACTCTGTATGTTACTCTGTGTGTTACTCTGTGTGTTACTCTGTGTGTTGTTACTCTGTATGTTACTCTGTGTGTTACTCTGTGTGTTACTCTGGGTGTTACTCTGTGTGTTGTTACTCTGTGTGTTACTCTGTGTGTGTTACTCTGTGTGTTACTCTGTGTGTTGTTACTCTGTATGTTACTCTGTGTGTTACTCTGGGTGTTACTCTGTGTGTTACTCTGTGTGTTACTCTGTGTGTTGTTACTCTGTGTGTTACTCTGTGTGTTACTCTGGGTGTTACTCTGTGTGTTGTTACTCTGTGTGTTACTCTGTGTGTTACTCTGTGTGTTGTTACTCTGTATGTTACTCTGTGTGTTACTCTGGGTGTTACTCTGTGTGTTGTTACTCTGTGTGTTACTCTGTGTGTTACTCTGTGTGTTGTTACTCTGTATGTTACTCTGTGTGTTACTCTGTGTGTTACTCTGGGTGTTACTCTGTGTGTGTTACTCTGTGTGTGTTACTCTGTGTGTTACTCTGGGTGTTACTCTGTGTGTTGTTACTCTGTGTGTTACTCTGGGTGTTACTCTGTGTGTTACTCTGGGTGTTACTCTGTGTGTTGTTACTCTGTGTGTGTTACTCTGTGTGTTACTCTGTGTGTTACTCTGTGTGTTACTCTGTGTGTGTTACTCTGGGTGTTACTCTGTGTGTTACTCTGTGTGTTACTCTGGGTGTTGTTACTCTGTGTGTTACTCTGTGTGTTACTCTGTGTGTTACTCTGGGTGTTGTTACTCTGTGTGTTACTCTGGGTGTTACTCTGTGTGTTACTCTGGGTGTTACTCTGTGTGTTGTTACTCTCTGTGTGTTACTCTGTGTGTTACTCTGGGTGTTGTTACTCTGTGTGTTACTCTGTGTGTTGTTACTCTGTGTGTTGTTACTCTGTGTTGTTACTCTGTGTGTTACTCTGTGTGTTACTCTGGGTGTTACTCTGTGTGTTACTCTGTGTGTGTTACTCTGTGTGTTACTCTGTGTGTTGTTACTCTGTGTGTTACTCTGTGTGTTACTCTGTGTGTTGTTACTCTGTGTGTTACTCTGGGTGTTACTCTGTGTGTTGTTACTCTGTGTGTTACTCTGTGTGTTGTTACTCTGTGTGTGTTACTCTGGGTGTTACTCTGTGTGTTGTTACTCTGTGTGTGTTACTCTGTGTGTTACTCTGTGTGTTACTGTGTGTGTTACTCTGTGTGTTGTTACTCTGTGTGTTACTCTGTGTGTTACTCTGTGTGTTACTCTGTGTGTTGTTACTCTGTGTGTTACTCTCTGTGTTGTTACTCTGTGTGTTACTCTGTGTGTTACTCTGTGTGTTACTCTGTGTGTTGTTACTCTGTGTGTTACTCTGTGTTGTTACTCTGTGTGTTACTCTGTGTGTGTTACTCTGTGTGTTACTGTGTGTGTTACTCTGTGTGTTACTCTGTGTTGTTACTCTGTGTTGTTACTCTGTGTGTTACTCTGTGTGTGTTACTCTGTGTTGTTACTCTGTGTGTGTTACTC